GAAGAAAAATTGGAACTAGAGGAAGCACGGGGTTCGAGACACCGAGTTCGCATTGAAAAACGCCTTTTACATAACAGGACAACCCCAGCGCTGCACAAACACGGGTTAGGACCCTTCGACGAAGGCACCGATCTTTGCTGTACTGTTTGCGAGAAGCGCACGGCGCTGGGGAATTTGTCAAGATTCCTGAAGGAGAAATGTGGCGGTCTTCAAGACTGTGGCGAGGAGCGGGGCCAGAGGGAAGCGCGTCCAAGCGTGAAGCTGGCCTACAGACAGGAGCTCGTTCGCAAACACAATGAGAAGGCTCAGGCGCAAGCTCTGCATGTGTTGGTTGTGCCAACTGATATGCAGCAAGGTGTGACTTGCACTTTGTGTCATGAAGAAGCACTCGAAACTTGGAGAAGAGTTGTTAAATTCACGCGGCAATGTTGCCCCTGCAGTGCGGGTGAAGATGCTTAGGACCCGCTATGTGGTCGACTTATAAGAATCATGTCATAATCTGATCTGCATGTTTTTCAACGGGAGGCTCTTTTTCATTTTGCGTTGGCCACAGCAATCGCTTAGCGACTGCAGCTTGCGCGTACCAAGTGACAGTTCCTTGCGCTGCATGACTTAGTCACAACCTTTTGCATGATGCACCGCATGCTGTCCATTCAGAGTTGTGGGAAACCAGCCCACACAGGAGCCTTGGCTCCGAACCATGTGCTCATGTTCGTGCAGAACCCCGCGCTCGGGTACTGCGCACCACCCTGCGTGGACGAAGAGTAAGATCTTAGCCGTGTCAAGGTCTTCAGGACGCCCTGCTGGCTGCTCGTACGAAGGGCCTCCAAGTCAACTTCAAAGTTTTTCCGCAGCAGGCTCTGCATTCCGGAGTTCGGTTCCGTTCTGCAGAGTGGTTCCAGAGCGGTTCCGGAGTGGGTTCTGGAGTGGTTCCGGGCGCGTTCTGGAAGGTTCCGGAGCGGGTTCCGGAGCAGGTTCCGGAGCGGATTTCCGGAGCGGGTTCCAACCGGCATTTCCGGAGCGGCTTCCGGAGCGGCTTCCCCGCTCGCTCAGACCAAAACCATTGTGTGCCAAGCCTCCAACATGCATGATCACCAAAGACTAGGGCATACAGTGTCCTATGCCTTATGCAGTCTTAGCACAAGGTTTGTTATGGTGATATCATAACATCCATTTGCCATCAGCTGTTGGGGCTTCAGTGGGCTTATTTCAATTCTCCAGGCCCCTGTGCTACAGTACTTGCTGCAGGTCGCTCCCTCGGCCTGGGATGCTGACGTCAATGCCAGCCATCTGCCGCAAAAGCAGCTCGGCCTCTAAGGCCATTGACCCAGAGACTCCAATACCCCTTAATTAAGGAATATACCTTAAATCCTATTAGGCATCCTACTATAATTTAAGGTATATTCCTTAATTAAGGGGTATTGGAGTCTCTGGGGACTCGGAGGCAGACGTGTCCCATGTTTGTCTTTGTACCTGTGTGCGCGTGTGCATATACATACACGTACATGTATGTATGAACGCATGTATGTATCCATGTGTGTGTATGTATGTCGGAGTGCATGCACGTGTTAGCTCGCAGCCCAGCAGTCAAGAATGTAGTAATAAAGTCACCAAGACCTCTGCGACTGTCGGCAGCATCATCTGTCACACAACTTAGCAACAACAGCTACACATAATGGAAACGAGGACAAGCCATGACAAACAATATGGCCGACAAGAGCAAAAGAATCAAGTAAGCAGCTTCGGCAGCAGCGAGAACACATCTACGACGACGACGACGGTGGTTGTCAGATAGTACTGTTTTTCAATAACAACAAGAACGAACAGGAACAAGAAGAGTAATAACGATATCACAGGAACATTCATAGCTTTCATCCATCACAGCAATCGGCCACAACCAACCATACACGCACACAAGAGATAACGAAGATTAGCAAACATGAAATCTCAACAACAACGACATCAAGCAACATGCGAGGGGCAAGTGATGCAAGAACCGTAACACGGACAACAACAGCCAAGATGAGGACGAGGAAGCCCTAATCACCATCGTCAGACTATTTATCATAGTTATGAACTCATCAAGCTTTTGCTTCTGATTCCCGTCATGATCTTCATGATCTTTCGAAGCGCCGGCATCGCCTCCACTAAAAAAAACTTTTCCACTGCCACAGCCGTCAGACCCCAAGCTCCCTGGCCGGCAAAGCCTTCCGTAGATTTGAAACGACCTGGCTCTGGCACCCAAGCCCGGATCCCCACCAGGCCTCTCCCGGCCTGTCAGGGCTTTAGGGTATAGGGTTTAGGGGTTTAGGGTTTAGGGGTTTAGGGGCTGGCAGGGAGCTTTACAGCTCTCGAAGACTTCTGCCGACACGTGTTGTGCACTCTTAGTTCCGGCATTGGGTTTGGACTACTTTTCCGAAGATGTGCCGCAGAGCAGAAGGGTCCTGTTGTGAAGGTTGGAAACCTGGGAGCAAAGGGTTGGGATTTGTGTCTCCGATAAATTCGTACCTCGCCTGCCACTTCAAGCTCGAGAAGGAGTGAACGAAAGCCTCGGAGGAAAACCACCTAAACCCTAAACCCTAAACCCTAAACCCTAAACCCTAAACCCCTAGAATTAGCAGGGCCCCTCTCTCAAAGCTCTGTAAGATCCTAAAACCGTGCCAGTATCCACCAAGAAGGAAGCCCCCTAAACGGCAAGGTAGGGGCCCTAATAGTTATAATAGGGGTCTTGGGCTCCTGTATAGTATGTTTATACTAAGGAACCCTAGCAATAATATTGGTTATTAAGTATGCTTCTACATTAAACCCGTCGCCCAGCGCACCGTTTTGGGCCGGTCGCCAAGGCCGCGAGGAGGGTGGCCCAGGTGGAGGCCGTCACCCTGTGGCCTTCTCGGGCTTACCCAGAGACTCCAATACCCCTTAATTAAGGAATATACCTTAAATTATAGTAGGATCCCTAATAAGATTTAAGGTATATTCCTTAATTAAGGGGTATTGGAGTCTCTGGGTACGGTTCTTTGCTGGAGCTTTGGGTTTAATGCAGGGGCCTTAATGATTAGAAGAGGATTTCGGGGTATATTGTACAATGGTTATAATAAGGAACCCCCAAAAGAGTGCAGGTAATTACTTTTGGGGCACTAGATTAGACTTTCTTAGGGGCTTTCGCTTCTGGATGGAGCAATTTTGAGTTGTTTCGACTGCAGGATGAGGGTTCAGCGACTTTTCAGAGAGCCCAATACCCCTTAAATAAGGAAGATACCTTAAATTATAGGGGCCTTTAATATTACGACTTAAGATCTATTCCCTTATTTAAGGGGTATTGGGCTCTCTGCGTCAATACCCCTTAATCAAGGAATATACCTTAAATCATAATATTAAGGGCCCCTATAATTTAAGAAACCTTAAACCCTAAACCCTAAACCCTAAACCCTAAAGGTACATTCCTTCATGAAGGTGTATTGGGATCTCTGGGGCTTTCGTGCAAAGATGCATGCACGCCTAGAGACCTTCGCAGCATTCGTTCCTGATGGTCGCACTATGTCCAAGGCATGTGCCACTTCGAGGGCTCATCTGGGGGCCTTAATATTTAGAATAGGGTTTTGGGGTATATGATACTATAGCTATAATAAGGGACCCCCAAAATAGTATAGGTAGTTATTTAGGCCCCTACTTAGTCATACTGAACGTTCATCATGCAGGAGACTAGTCCCGCGAAGCATTTTCTGCCGTTGCCAAAAAAAGTCCACGACAATGGGCACGAATCCAACACGATTGATTCTCTGATCTCTCTGAGATACCAAACTGCAAAGACCCTTTAGTCATGTCTTGAATCGGTTCCCTAGCCTCCCTATTTCCGTGATCATCGCAGGTCGAGTCTTTCTTTCCTTAGGCTTCAAGGAACCAAGGCCGTAAATCTAAACCCTGAACCCCAAACTATGGGCTCTGGCCTTCCAAAGCTCCCGCAATTTCCTTTAATCAATGTCTCAACCAGTTCAGGACCCTAAACCGTAAACCCCAAGCCCAGTTTTGGGATTGGGGCTTGTTCTAGAATCGTGTGGGGGAAGCCAGAATGCCTTCTTTGACACAAGGTCTCGATGTTCCTCACCCAAGCTTTACGGCATCGCCCAACTTGTGAACCTCACAGCTATTCCGTCGGGCCTGCTTGGCGCATCTGCGTGAGCGTGCCGGCTGCAAGAATCAGCCTTGCTTCGGTGTGTTATGTAGTACAGAATCATATACATGTGATATAGTCTCAACAACTGCATATGCATACATATATATATATATGTACACATACATGCATTCATGCATGCATGCATACATTACTTACATACGTGTAAATCATGTAAATGTGGCTTTGTGCCGACGGGTTTGCCGCCCCCCTCCCCCGGACTTCTTTTTGCTGCATGGTTGAGGCCTGCTTGAGGCCTCTAGCAGCTTGTGCGGGGAGGGGAGTTATACCATACGGATAGCTGATAGATGGGTTCAGTAACAGTATTTGCAAGAGGGGTCTTCTGCACAGTGCGCACAGTCTTGGCTTGGACTGCACCAAAGCACTGAGAAGGTCGAGTGTGCTGTCCACAAGGCGTCCTCTGTCGTTGGACAAACTCCGATTAGACAAGGGCATGCCCGAGTTCTGGCTTTTTGGTGGCCAGCCTTGGTTTGCCTGGCTTGCTTGGTCTGACTGTATACACCCCTTATAGCTTTCAAGAGGATGCAGCCATATGAAACTGCGTACGAGCCACGTGCACACATGGAAACAGGTAAATACACACCAAACAAATATGTAGACACGTAAACGTGAGTGCAAGTCTTTCATGTACACATCTACTTCCACATACACATAGATGTCCTATGGAAAGTATCAACCCAGAGAGCCCAATACCCCTTAAATAAGGAATATACCTTAAATGATAATATTAAGGGCCGAGGGCCCCTATAATTTAAGGTATATTCCTTATTTAGGGGGTATTGGGCTCTCTGGGAACATAGGCTTTCATGAGGCCTCCCTAAGATTTTGCCGAATGCAGGCTCCAGGTTTGTGTAATCTCCAAGTTCACACCAACCACCACTTGGAGGTTCATGGGTAGTTATAATTGGGTTATAAGTCCCCTAATAGGGGTTATAATTATAGTTACCCTGTTTATAACCCTACTTATAACTACCCATGAACCTCCAAGCACCCCAAGGAAGCCTCCATGCAAAGCTACGGATACCCTCCTCAAGCATTTCTGTCTGGTGCTTAGTAGGGAATGGGGGAATGGGCTATAGGGACTACTATATGGGACCTTAAGGGACTATCATAGGGATCCATACCCCCATCCCCTACTAAGCACCAGACAGTCTTCTCAGAAGGATTCTGCCATGTCAAGCAACCCTCTACTTGGAGGTTCATGGGTAGTTATAAGTAGGGTTATAAGTGGGGTAACTATGATTAGAAGCCCTATTAGGGGACTTATAACCCCACTTATAACTACCCATGAACCTCCAAGTACTGCTCAAAGGGCGCAAAGCAGCCAGGCTGGCCTCCCCTTGGCAGCGTAGGCCTTTGCAACTGCCGCAAAGGCCCGTACCTGAACAAGAAATCAAGCTTGGGAGCTGCGTGCCTCCCGAATTCTGCTCTTTGCCTCTATTTGACAAGCACCGCGAGCACATCGAATCTGAAACCCTCAAGTAAGAAACAGAGTCCTGCCTTGACGGAGAGGCCCTTCGCCTGGCCTTCCTGCATCCAAGAAGCCTTTCCAAGGAGGTACGCATGGCGGAGGGAATTCGTAATCGTTGCTGCCATGGGTGCAGATCGACTCATCATCCGCAATTTGAGTGCACACAGTGGCATCTCGACTTCTCTGCACTGTGCGACAACCTCTTGCAATCATCCTCCCGAAAAGCTGAGGCTCGGGACGGCCTCCTGTGGCTTCCCGCCTCTTCACAACACTTTCAGAGACCGGTTTAGGCTCTACTTGGAGGTTCATGGGAAGTTATAAGTAGGGTTATAAGTGGGGTAACTATAATTATAACCCTATTAGGAGACTTATGACCCCACTTATAACTACCCATGAACCTCCAAGTAGGGCTCTAGGGCTTCGGGTTTCGGGCTGCAGGGTTTGGCAAATGCCGTCGCAAAGAGAGGGCATGCTGGCGTTAAGAGTGCGGCAGCAACAATGACGATGCTTTTTGCAAAGTTTTGTGTGAGTGTATGTATTTAACAACGTCTGCATTGGTATCTATTTACAAATGTTTGTATGCGTACGGATTAATAACTCGTTGCGTTCGCACACTCATCCCATTTGCACTGCATGTGCAGGTGAGTAAGTGAGAATGTAAATAAACATGTATGGGAGGGAGTATGTATGCATGTGTGAAGGCTTTCAGTCTCCATATCTTTCATATCTTAGTTGCGCTCTAGTTTTTCATGCATGCATTCAAAGAATAAGCGCTCGGCCGATGTGCATACTCAACTTTTAGCACAGCCAGTTAAACATACGAGAGACGATGATGGTTCGGCTGTCAATGCATGCATTCTATTCTGCCGGTGTGTCCCAATGATATGCCCTCTGCGAGCACCAACATTCGTCAACGTGGGAAAACGAAGGCTGCCGTTCATGCTAATGTAGCAATGTAATACTACAGCATGTCATATTGAAAAGTTGAACATGATTATGCATGCTATAACATCACAACGGCGAAAGGGTCCACAGAGGATTTATTCACCAGTTCAACCATCGTAACGTGGTTTTCATTTGCCAATTCTAGGGGCTGCGCCCACGACCTGGCAGCGCAGGTACAGTGGACAGAAGGCTGGACCCTAAACCCTAAACCCTAAACCCTAAACCTGGAATCCCTTCCAGACCTCCTACCACTGCTCAGGCCAGTGCTTTCTGTCTTCTTTGGTGCCCCATGCTGTAGATATACACACGACAATGTAAAAAAACATGGAAACAAGGAAAGTTTGGGAAAGCTCTGATCACTCATGACAGCACAAGAGCCATCAAACAGCGCATGAGTATATTTTGCACAAGTTTACACTCAAAAACCCAATTTTTTTTTATCAACATTGCACAGCGCTAACTGTTTCTGAGCCGCAAGGTTTTAAGTACCAGTACCGACCAGAGTTTTCAAGACTAACAGCTTTTTCAAAAGGGCCTCGTGTTGAAACATGACAGGGAGGGCAGAAAGGGGCCCTGTTCTCCCCCCCTACCAGCATGAATCTTGGTTAACGTGAAGCTTGTTCAAACGACCGAGTTGTAAGCTGTTCCCGCCTGTAGGTCTGTCTGTTTGTTTGTGTGCATACCACACGCATGTATGATGCCTACATGTTTAAACACATAAGTCCATCGACACATCACATTACATTACGCACCTAACTACCTACGCACATACACACAGACATACATACATGCAAGCATGCATATATCGATATGTATACACACAGATGCTCTACCCTACCCTTCTTTACATACATGCATACATACAAACATTACCTGCACATGTACATACATATGCATCCGTGCAGAAGTCTGCATAATGCGCTGCTGCTGCTGCATGATCACCATTACAAAGACCAGAAGGACGAGGTGGCCATGACTTGCCTCCATTCCAACTCACGAAGTTCCCATGGTGTACCCGCCGCGAAAGAGGCCGTAAACGTAGAGAACTCCGAAATCCAAACTCTGAATCCCCCCAAGCCCCCAACCCTGAACGCAAAGTCCTGGAACTTTAGTTCGAAATCCTAAGCAGCTAAAGCCGCAAGCTCGAGGCCCCAACGTGCAGCTGCACTTTGCACGGCGGCACTCAGATCAGCTCCCGAGACGTGGCCGCCGGAAGCCCGCAAAAACCTCGACCCAGGGTTTCATTGAAGTTTGAGGCTTTTGAAGGTTTAGTTTGGGCTTTGTGGTCTAAGGTTAAGGTCTTCAGGTTGAGGGTAGGAGGCTTTGGGGTTCAGGGCTTCACGGGGAAGGTTGAGGGTTCAGGGCTTCATGGCTTGAGGTGGCGCGGGGTTTGGGGCCTGGAGGTTCAGCAAACAGCTCGCTAAAACCCGACGAGAATGGTGACGGTAGAGCTGAAGATGCTGTACAGCAGCGGTAGTCTTGCTGGTAATGGCGGTAATTTGTCGAATCATAGCAGCGGCATTGATATTTTTTGTTTTCCAAAACCTACCAAACATGATACCGCTGGTAGTAAAAGGGCTATGACAAGTTATCGAAAGGAGTCTGTCTGTCGACGGTCTTGAGAACGAACCACGAACCAACGCGCAAGGCAGCACAGTACGCACTGTCAAAACTAAGGGTCAAGATTGCAGCAAATAGACTTGCTGGCCCTCTACCTGAAGGAATACAAGTACTCATTACCTTACTTACTAAGTTCCCCTTTTTCTTCAAGTATACCCCACAAACTCCCAAGTTTCTGATTGTCCTAAGAGACCAGGAGCTTGGAAGAACCATCAATTCATCTTAAAAACCACCCGGCAAAAGGCCATGAATGGGTCTAGGGTTTAGGGTTTAGGGTTTAAGGAGAGAAAAAGCAAGGTACTTCATGAGGACGCACTACAGTACAACTCAGTATGCTGAAATCTAGAAGAATCGAATAACAGCATCCAGTATGATGCTCTTTCCAAACCAAAAACAGAAACCAGTTTCGTAAACTATAATACAACATATCATACCAGAACCTGATATGATATAACATACTAGTATAGTAGAACACAATGTATTAGCGTCTAATACATTGTTTGGTCATGCCACACACATCAAGCAGTTGTAGTATGATATTTAAGGTTATACCATACTATACCCAAGCTAGACTAAAGATATACCAAAGTAATACTTAACCGTGAACCCTAAACTCCTAAACCCTAACCCCTAAACCCTTGACCCCAAAGCACCTGTAACCCTAAACCCCAAACTCCCAAAACCCTAAACCCTAAACCCTAAACCCTAAACCCCTAAACCCTAAACCCTAAACCCTAAACCCTAAACCCCCTAAACTCCCAAAACAACCCTGAACTCCTAAACTCTAAACTCCCAGAACCCTTGACCCCTAAACGCCTGAACCCTTAAACCCTAAACTCCTAAACCCTCAAGCCCTAAACCTCTAACCTCCAAGCCCTCAACTTCCAAACCCTAAACTCCCAAAACCCCTTAACCCCTGAACCCTTAAAACCTAAACTCCTAAACCCTACAGCCCTAAACCTCTAACCTCCAAACCCTAAATAAAAGCGGGGATTCTTTCTCCGAAGCCACAAGCTCGGATTCTGAGTTCAAAGCTCGAACCAACGAAGGGCCGTTTCGTGTTCACCTTAGGGCTTAGTAGGGGTTTAGGCTTTAGGGTTTAGGAGTGTAGGGGCTTTGGGGTTTAGGGTTTAGGAGTTTAGGGGCTTTGGGGTTTAGGGTTTAGGAGTTTAGGGTAAATTGTTTAGGGGTTTTGGGGTTTAGGGTGTAAGTTCTGTTTTATGTCTGCAGCTATTCGTCCAACACCTAATAAACAAAACTTGTTTAAGGATTGCATGTTCGGGGACTTTGGGGCATTTAGCCTTGCTTGCGAGCTACACTTAGTTTGGGAGCATAGGGTGAAAGTATATTACAGCTGAATCTTCCACATATTCCGGCATCAGCGGATACTTCGCAGCAGCCCTAACAAAACTTGCGCACGCCATATAGGTTTGTGCACCGTTTCATATAGCGTGTGGCTTGTGTTGTTGCGATTGCTTCTGCCGTCATTGTGTATGCATTTTCCACTTGTGCTCAACAAAGTGTCTGTACGAAGTAGTAGTAGTAGTAGTAGCAGTAGTAGTAGTAGTAGTAGTAGTAGTAGTAGTAGTAGGTAGTGCTACTACTAACTACTACTACTACTACTACTACTACTACTACTACTACCACTACCACTACCACTACCACTACTACTACTACTACTACTACTACTACTACTACTACTACCACCAGTTGCTGAACCCAGGGAAGACCCAAACCTCAAAGGAAGCAGCAGATCCTTCCGGGCTCTTTAGGGTTTCGGGCTCAGGGCTTACGTTTTCAGGTTCACGGATCGTCATCTTCCGGACAACATAGAAAATGAGCTCGGGTTTCGGATTTGGGTAGTTCGGGGACGAAGTGCAATGAGGGTTTTGGGGGGCCGAGGGATAGGTTTGTGGTTCCCGTGCATTCCCTAGAGAAATGCCAGAGAGATGGCCGTGATGCCCGTTCAGACCCGGATCTATCGTTGGCCGCCGGATGCTCAAGTCAACGCCGCAATACATAGGCCTCTACAATCACAGTTAGGCTTTGGGGTTTCCTCAAGTGTAACCCTTACCCTAAAACGAGAAGTGTTGGGAATGACTCAGGCTCTAGTATGATGAAGGAACCCTAGGAAGAGTAGTCTTGGGAATTATTCAGGCTTCTGTATTACCTGCTGGTCTGCTGGGGCTATGTTGAAAATGATCATTTTCAATCCTTATTAATTTTAATGAGAACAAAAATGCAAAATGGTATCCAACAATGACTGTCTGGTGCTTAGTAGGGAATGGGGGGATGGGTTATAGGGACTACTACAAGGGACCTTAAGGGGCTATCATAGGGATCCATTCCCCCATTCCCTACTAAGCACCAGACAGATGACCCAGTTACGAGTTCCCAGAAGTCCGTCTTTTGGAGCCTTGTTTTCGCGCCGGTAGAAACCTCTCTGCGCAGGTCCCTCGGAGGCCTCCTAGCGTGTACGTAAATAGTGCCCTGAACCGCAGATCTCACA